CTGGGTATGTGTGTGTGCGTGCGTGCGTGCGTGCGTGCGGGCGTGCGTGCGTGCGTGCGTGCGTGCGTGCGTGCGTGTGTGTGTGTATCTGTAATAGTTAGTGATCGTGCTATGCTAGCAGATGTATTACATACAACATCCTTACCTAGTTACGTATATGTATCTGTAATATATACTTCACCAGGTGCAGCCCAATGCAGAGCTATACGAAGTATTGCTAGGAGGTGCAAAAATGGTAAACAACTATTATTACTAACTTTTGTAAATACTGGCTTAGATGTTTCATTGCCACGCAAATTCTTAATATATCTACATAGTAAGCAGTAATGTAATTTGAGTCACCCGCATACATATCTAACAACTGTCGAAAATGGTAAATTTAAAACACTGCGATTTTGTGCGTGCAGCCATTCAATATTTGCAATTTACCTAATTTATTATATACAGTTTCGAAACGTGATTGGACTTGGGGACAGGAATAGATGATCGTACAACCGTCACGCTACACGTAAACAAGATGAAACGGACTAAAGCATGGGTGTTGCTATCCCCCGGGCGTGGAGGGAGGGTCACGTGATATAGTTGACGTATACTTTAAAATCATTAGTCATCTGGTAACGCTAACTCCAACACCTCCAACGATACCCATAACACTAAACATATATATATCGGAGCGCTATATATAGGTCCAAAAATCCACAAAAATTAACCTATGGTGTGGGGACAGATATCATGATGCAAAAACCTTAATCCTAACCCTAATCCTAACCCTAACTCTAACCCTAACCCAATCCCTAACCCTAACCCTGACCCTAACGCTAATCCTAACACTATCCTAACACTAGTGCTGCCACGTTGCGGTAACCTCCCTCCACGCCCGGGGGATAGCATTACCCAATCCTAACACTATCCTAACACTAGTGCTGCCACGTTGCGGTAACCTCCCTCCACGCCCGGGGGATAGCATTACCCCTAAAGCACAGAGATCCCAACCGCACACATTTTTTAAGGCGTGGTAACCGTCCTTTGATGATCCGAAAAACTTTGGGTCATAATTTTAAGTTAGTTACATAAATGCGAATGTCTAGTCATCAGTTTCAGTTTGCTTAATTTAGGTATGTGGATTGAAGCAATTAATGTGGTATTGTGAATGCTGGTTTGATATCCAAGGCATGTTTCCAGGTGTGGTAGCTTGGTGGGCCATTATCAAATCATGTACCAGGTGAAAACGTTTGCAGTCTTCCAGTGAAAAGGGGAAATTGCTTGGTAGTTCAATCAGTGAGTTTTTGCCCTTGTCAATCATTCTACCAAAAGTGAAGTTTGCAATGTTTGCTTGTAAGAATTGTTATCATTTATCTTTGTATTTGTATGCAGTTTTGTTAATATCAAGAATAACTAGAATAACAGTTATGTTCACTTGTTAATTATATGCACACAGCATTTTTATTATGCTAGCTTTGCTCACACACAACACAACATCTTTAACAACGCCAAAAATTAATTTGCACATTTTAACATACTGTACACGTATGTATATTAAATTTATTGTACACATGCTCACATATAAACAATCGACATACCAATAGGGATTTACAAAATAAGACACCGAAACCTTCGACACGACGACCACGATATTTCACCGACTTCATATATAAGTGAGACAAGTGTAAATAGATCTCTTACAAACTCCCACAAACACGGGGAATGTTTAGTGCATCGTGTTAAACCAGCCTGTACTCCTACCGACGCCATCCCCCCCCTCTCTCACGGCGTCGTGCGCCTCCTCAGAAATAATGGGGATAATCGGTTTAATGTGTCATCCTTTGCATAACAATTAAGAGTTAGACGATATATGTGGCCACACTGAATCTTGGCCACAAGTTTGGCAATGCACTCGTATGGTTCTGTGTGGACTAGTGCTGTTATCAACAGCCAAAACACGGACACAAATGCAGACGACTTAAGCTTTCTAGCATTTTAAGCCCGGCGCACACGTGAGTTATTTTACTCAAGTAAAATGACGCACGAGTCAAATTACTCAACGAAAACCCGCCGCACACGTGAGTAAAATGACGCATGCATCAAATTACTCAACGAAAATCCGCCGCACACGTGAGTAAAATGACGCATGCATCAAATTACTCAACGAAAATCCGTCGCACACGTGAGTAAAATGACTCATGCGTCATTTTACTTGAGTAAAATAACTCACGTGTGCGCCGGGCATTATGCCTTCATCTATGCTATCACCACCCCGTGATGTAATCATCCAGCATTTAAAGCCGCGTAACGAGTTCTACCGTTCACATGATTTCCTAATCGCTATGGAATTAGAATTTTGACTTCCCCCTAATGGCAAGGGGTGCTTTACTCTTCACAGTTCAAAACATTTTACGGTGGAAGTAAGCACTTTTACTTGCCACTCATGCTTTGACTGTTCAAACAGTACACACTCTCAGATTCTAAACACTGCCTCTGGATTTTAGAAGGTATATTATGTGTCGCTAAATTCTTTTACCAGTGAACATTCGTAACTTAAACTCATAATCATGGTGGTGACATGGATTTTGTCCATTTGAAAAAAAGTAAAAAGTATGCTGTAACGTTCATCACACAGAAAATTTGTATTAAAGATAAAAACAATGAAAATTATGCAGTTATTAAAAAAACTCCTACTGTAACTCACCAATTACCCTCTGTCCACACTCACACATGCGAAATAAAACTTTCCTTTTGATTATCTCATTTTTGGCCTGACAACATTCATCGTCCTACTTACAAAAGTCATTTGCAAAGTTAAACTTTTAATATCACAACGTACACACATAATACATAACACTCTAGATCGGTAGCGCACTTTATCATAGCATTATGGCGACGCGCGCGCATTGCACGAAAGTTGTCCAAGTGTGTTAGATGGCAATGTGTTGGCTGTCCATGACACCTGATTCACTGTCAAGGTCATAACAAAGAGAAACTGTAGGGCCTAGCTTTGAAAAACAGCATGATACAAACACTGCTGAAAACTTTCGTATGCAACCACCTTCTTGCAATCATGCCTTCACGCTTTACCAAAGACACTGCCCTACTCGTGTCTGCAGATGCAGGGCTAGGGTGGAAAGATATAAAGCAGAGGAGAGATAGTTGGCTGCATTCTCTCATCCAGCAAACTCGCTGAACTGCTAATAACTGATTCAGAAGTTTCCTAGCAGTTGTCTCATGTGTGCGTCTGTCTGCAGAATTCCCACAATAAAAACAAGCAGTCTACATCATGTGTAAATACATCATGTGAAACTACAGTTTTAGCTTTGCAATTGGGAACACGTTCCCTGGGATGCAGCCAAAAGAAAACTGTTCGAGTATTTAGAGGACATGCGATTAAAACTAGAATCGGGTACGTTTCTGGTGAATGTTACACGGCAATGTGATACAGAAATCCTTCTAGCAGTCACCTCCCATCCCATCCCAAGGTCGAACAAACACTGTACAGTGCACTTCGCTACGCCATGGTTGGCCACACGACGACTTTCTAGGTATTCTATTCACAAACAAAGGTCAGTCAAAAAGGATATCCCTGGTGGCAATATGATTACAAAGTTTCTATAAGCCGACTCTTCCTCGTGTCAGGTCTGTGGCACCAAGCAGAGGCGAGAGCAATACTGGAGACATGCAAATTAGGAAGCATATTTATATGACGCGTGCACACGTGTGTGTTTGCAGACACCATCAACAGTAAGCAAGGAGTTGTATTGGAGAGCTGTCTAATACAGCTCCTAGACGGTAAGCACGCATCTACCTACGTTCGTACATAGCATGGTTATGCACCCATCCGCACAACAACAAACAAGAGGGCGGCAGCTGCAGCAGCAACAACAGCAGCAGCAGTAGCAGCAGTAGCAGCAGCAGCAGCAGCAGCAGCAGCAGCAGCAGCAGCAGCAGCAGTAGTAGTAGCAGCAGCAGCAGCAGTAGTAGTAGTAGCAGCAGCAGCAGTAGTAGTAGCAGCAGCAGCAGCAGTAGGAGCAGTAGCAGCAGTAGTAGCAGCAGCAGCAGTAGCAGCAGCAGCAGCAGCAGCAGTCACCACAGTGCCATCAATACTGCTTACTCGATATCACGCATGGCAATAACGTCAGTCATTCTCCTAAATCACTGCACACGTACGACAGAGTTTTTTCTGTGGATTGCATTAATGCATTCCGGCCAGACAATGGGAAAAGTGACGTCACGCCCTTCTTAATAAGACCAGAGACCGCTTTTCAAAAGGGGAATTGTTACAACGTTACAATGCAGAGAGAGAGAGATGTATATAAACGAATCTTTACTGTACCTCAACCAGTCTCGTTAAGTGTTTACAAGCATAAATCAGTCCGGTGTGCGTGGGATTTGAAGATGTGCACGGAGTGTCGGATTAGGCGTGCATGATCGAGTACATCCACCTTGGCAACGGCAAGTTTTAACGCTTCGACATTCACAAAGTGCACCTTTCACATGACAAAACAATATTAACAATTTCCCGAATTGCGGGTTTACGGCATACACATACCAAACACAACTGTAGAATTCGTTCACCTACATAATGATTGACTACTATGTCACAACACGCCACCAAACAACTTCGTACAAACAGAAGACTGGACGCATCTCCCATTCGCAAAAAAAACTCCTCACCTTGCAGATTAGATGATAACAACAAAATATATACAAAACGCTAAAAAATTAAGTTCTAATATCACACAAAGCAGTAGCAGTAACTGACTGCGACAGTTATTGCACAACCATATACACACGTATGTACAGTTAACGGCAAGGTAACACTACAGCTGTGACTTTGGCTTTTACTCTCTCGTAAACCAAAAGAAATAATTTCACCGTCGTTAGTACGGACTATACTTCGGCAACATGTTTCATCTTTTAAACTTTAAAAAAGTGTATCTTTAACTACTTTTATTTCTCGCTATGACATCACATTTATGTTTGATTTGCCTACATGTATACGTAAGGAAAGGTTTTCTCCCAGGGTCATCTGGATCAAGAATGATGTCGAACAGTTACTGTTTGAAAACACTTTACAAGATACTGAAATGGAATTTAAGCAACATGCTGTGTATGCAAGCTATATCTATCTATTTATCTATCTATCTATCTGTCTATCTTTCTTGAACAGTCTCTCACTCGCTTGATCGAGTGCCTGACTGAGCAAGATACATAGATAGATACGTATAAACCAATTTAAAAAAACAATTTGTGGGTTCAACCTTGTAACACATTGAAGTTGTACTAAAACAGCTCTACTATCAATTTTAAGTACCGATAGAATGAACAGATGTCCGAGCTGCACTGGCAAAAGGATGTCATCGCTGCCACATTTCACAAAAACCCATTACGTAATGCTAATAATAAGTACACCGTGAACGAAAGTGTTCCGAGAGCCAACTACACGTTGTATCGGGCCTATATAAATGTCTAGATTCTATACACTACGTTACGAAATGCATTCGATCGCGAACGTGCACTTGCATCCTCGACCACCCGACGCGCGTGAGGATGCAAGCGTGTTCGCGGTTTAACGCATCTACTTTAGACACCGAGGTGAGAAAGCCTGAGGCTGTTCCGTCGGTTTGTTG